TGAGTTTTTCTTCAGAGTAGTCACCAACACTCTCTCTCCTCCAAGGCCCATTTCTCTCCCTCACTCTCACACGTGTGGCCCAATGGGCTTTCTTCTACTTATCGCTTTCCTTGATTTTGATCGTCACCATAATCACTAATTCACTATGGTCAAACTTTGGGTTATTTTCATTTTCTTCTTCTTAGTTCTGATTTCTACGAAGAAGAAAATTTCATTATTGTTTGATCAGTAATACTATCTTGTTATGGAACTGAATAAGTTGATATCCCAAAATGAAACTTAGATCATTGGATCATTTCAAGGCTTTTACCGATTTAAAACCCAAAAGGGTCAAAAAGGCCCAATCTCGATATCAATTTGAAAACCAACAAAAACCATACATTTCTGAAAACTGAAAGAGTCAAATGTCGTAAGAACATTTGTGAAAGATTTTTGGGAAGTTGGTTGGGTTTTGCTGGTAAACACTAAACTAGCTAGGTTTATAATCCCCTCTCTACACATCTTGCTTAGATTCTTGAGCCATCGAAAGTAAATTGGCGAGATCTCCCATATTGCAGTATACAATTGGACAAATACGATGGAAAAAAATGATATACAAATCTAAAAGAAGGAAAAAGAGATCTACAATTCTAGTGGAGATCAAATCAAATAGTAATATATTTTGTTTGTCAACAGTCAAATAGACAAATAGTAACACTTTCATATGCACATACTCATGTTTAAAAACCATTTACCCAATGACAAAAACTTTAAAACTAAAAAAAATAATCAAAATATACTCAATTAAAAAAATATTCATTTTGACAATTTCCTCAAACATAAGAGAATTCATCCTATCCAAAACTAGTTTCCGAGTGAAGATTGGTTTGTTTGATTCCATCTTATCGGTTTAGTTTTCTACGAATCCATAAGTTGTAAGGAGCAAACGCGTATTATTGTCTGGACTTTCCAATTCTATTTCTTACTTTCACGTTGAATATTTTAGGATTTAAATTTTTGTTTGGCAAAATGTGATTAGTTTTAGTTCTGATTTTTTTGTTTTCAATCTCAAACTTCGAATCCACTAAC